GTCATAAATGGACTGGCACCTGACTTTGATTAACTAAACTTTCTCTGTAGGATAACCCCTTTTTAACCTTTCCCAGGCTGCTTTCTATCTATGCCTCATCGGTGTGGGACCTACTACCGATTTCAAGTGCATCTGGGTATCAAGCAGACCTACCAGCCGAGGCTTGAAGATATTTCAGCTGGAGTTCCGTGGATCTGTAATGCTGTTCTCCCTTCGAGAATTCTTAGAAACTTCAGGGCTGTTCCCTCTGATGCTATGAGGCTGAGAGGCTATGAGCTCTCAGCCAGAGCTTTTGGGACCTTTCTCCTGGAATTTCTGCTTCTGTATCCCCGGATGTTACCTTTTCCCTGGATGCTTATTAAGAAAGGAAGCTTTTCTACGGGATGAGCTGGTCTATGTCCTATAGCTTAGCTACCTTGTGTGAGACTGCCCAAAAAATGGCTCCTTTCCCTCCCAGAGCCCAGAAGAAGGGGCGGAACCAAAGCTTAATTATAATGGACAGGAGGCCTGCCCTATGACTGCAAAACAGATAACAGAAAGAAAATAAAATTGGAGCTCCTGGTACAGCCGTACCAGCACATTATTATTATTATTATTATTACTATTATTATTATTATTATTAAAAAGGAAAACAGCCAGCTTGGAAATAGCAAGAGGCAGAGGAGCAGAATCCTCCCCCTGATGTGTCATGTTGCTATCAGGATCCTGGCAGAGAACTAAAAGGAACCCATTGTATTAAGGGAGGTGCTGAGAATGTAGTGGGATTGGGAGATGTTGATGCATTTTCCTCCCAATAACAGATAGGGATGGGAGAATCTTGGACCAGAAGGTAAACCAGTAGCAGAATCTACATAGTGTCATGTGATAGGGACTATCAAATGGAAAAAGGAAACTGAGTATGCAAGAGAGGTAAAAATAAACCAAAAGGGAGGGGAATATAATACCTTTCCTGCTTCCTATGATCAAGTCCATAATATCATTCCTTTTGCAGTATGGCACATCTTATTTAGTTTATGGTATAATTACAGGGTGAAAATTGTCACTTTATTGTACATATGTTTTGACCTATAGACGAATGGCAGTCTAATTAACTTTCCAAATGCCGCAACCCCTTAACACAGTTCCTCTGTTAGGGTGACTCCCAACCATAACATTATTTTCGTTGCTACTTCATAACTGTAATTTTGCTACTATTATAAATTGTAATATAAATATCTGATATGCAGGATGTATTTTCATTCACTGGACCAATTTTGGCACAAATACCCAATACACTCAAATTTGATTACTGGTGGGATTGGGGGGATTGTTATTTGGGAGTTGTAGTTGGTGGGATTTACAATCAAAGACCATTCTGAACTCCACCAACAATGGAATTGAACCAAACTTGGCACACACAACTCCCATGACCAACAGAAAATACTGGAAGAGTTTGGTGGGCATTGACCTTGAGTTTTGGAGTTGTAGTTCACCTACATTCAGAGATCACTGTGGACTCACATAATGATAGATCCAGACCACATTTGGCACAAATACTCAATATGTCCAAATGTGAACACTGATGGAATTTGGGGAAAATAGACCTTGACATTTGGGAGTTGTAGTTGCTGGAATTTATAGTTCACCTGCAACCAAAAAACATTCTCAACCATACCAACGATAGAATTGGGCCAAACTTCCCACACAGAACCTCCATGACCAACAGAACATGTTGTGTTTTCTGATAGTCTTTGGTGACTCCTCTGACACCCCCTTGCGACCCCCCCAGGGGTCCTGACCCACAGGTTGAGAAACTCTGCTCCAATTGCATCTTAACAATGAGAAGTATGAGATTGAAATGAGACCTTTGTACTGTAACCCCTTACTGTGTAAAAACAACTTTCCAAAATTTTGATCCGTAGGTAGTTGAAGAAGTGAGTGTTGATAATGAGGGCATTGAAGAACTGGAGGTCTCCAATCCTCTCATCTTTTGCTTTGTTTCCCCGATCTGTTAGCAAAGGGACCCTGAACAACCTTGTTCCTACTAAAGAGACATCCGTTCCACACATAACGAATTCTTGGAATACAGTCCTTGAAAAAGATGCTGGATTGTGATGGCCTTTAGCCATGTGAACTGTAAAACTTGTATATTTATTACATTCTCTGAAATTGTGCGCAGCGATAAGTAGTATTCTATTCTAATGTGCTATTCTAATAATATAATATAATATAATTATAATAATTTAATGTAATGCAATATCATAATAATATGATATTATAATTATATATTTATATTACATGTAATATTACTAATAATATTATGATATTTTGGTATGGTGCAATATAGCAATGTTTAGTGCTGATATTGTACTATGCTAATAATATAATATACTAGCTTGGGGACCCGGCGCTGCTCAGGTTATTAGAGAAAGTGGGTAATGGCTGTTCTCTATACCAAGTTTGGTCTTTATTGGCCATTGGATAATGGCTGCATTGTTTTCAGGAAGTGAGTGAAGGTACTTGAAGTCCCATCATCCATGGTCCACCCTCCTCCAAACAGCAGCAGGATATAGAGTGGGTCATGGGGGCTCTTTGTGCCAAGTTTGGTTTTGATCAGTCATTGGCGAGGGTCTCAGTGGTCTCAGGAAGTGAGTGAAGTGACTGCAAGTCCCATCATCCATTGTCAAATTCTTCCAAACCGCACCAGGATGTAGAGTGGGTCATGCGGGCTCTCTGTGTTAATTGTGGCCCTGATCCATCATTGTTGGCAGTTGTAATGGTCTCAGGAAGGGAGTGCAGGTATTGCAAGTCCCATTGTCCATGGTGCATCCTCCTCCAAACTGCACCAGGATGTAGAGTGCGTCACGGAGACTCAGTGTGCCAAGTTTGGTCTTTATTGGTAATTGAATGTGGGTTGCAGTGGTCTCAGGAATTGAGCAAAGGTACTGCAAGTCCCATAATCCATGGTCCATCCCTAGCCAAACCACACCAGGGCGTAAAGTGGGTCATGAGAGGTCTCATGAGAGGTCTATGTGTCTAGATCAGTCATTGGATGAGGTTAACAGCGGTCTCAGAAAGTGAGTGATGGGACTGGAAGTCCCATCATCCATGGTCCATCCTCCTCCAAACTGCAGTAGGCTGTAGAGTGGGTCATGGGGGCTCTGTGTGCCAAGTTTGGTCTTTATTGGTAATTTTCTGACACAGCATCTGGCCTTTTTCTTTCATCTCTTTGTCCTCTTGGAATCTTGGAATTGAGGCTGGCCAGAGACAATTTCCAAATTTCCCTTGGTCATGTCTCCGTTTCTCTCATTAACCGTCTTCGCCACCAGGGGGTCCTGTTGAGGTTGGCCAATCAGAGACCATATGCAAATAGCACCACAGTGGCAGCCAATCAGAAAGCTGCCACAAACACGTCCGCCCTACATCCTACCTACCTCTGTCCTACGTCGCATACAAACTTTGACTTTTATCATATGTATAGATTGTATGTAATATATACCTTGTAAGCCGCTCTGAGTCCCCTTCGGGGTGAGAAGGGCGGCATATAAATGTTGTAAATAAAATAAAAAATAAATAGTAGCTGAACCAAATGTTATCCTGATCTCAATGGTTGCAGCGTGACTTTTTTATGATCTCTCCAATGAAACATGTCAGTCCATAATGTAGTAATAGTGATCCCCTCTGTTAACCAAATGTATTTGTGCGCATGCGTGCTCACGCCATAAATTGGGAAGGCAATGCACAGTTTGATCATTGGCTTGGACATATCAAACAGACACTAAGGAGTATAGGCTTTGCCCTCATTGATATGTTGTCGGTATTCAATGTGTCACCAAATGCCACAAAATTAAGAATTTCCCTTCCCTTGTGCAGTATTTTGTTCCTGACTGAATTGAACAATGCTGTTGCTATAGAAACAGCCTTTCCGGAAAAGGTCACTTGCAAGAAACTGTGTTTTAGGTGCAACTCAAGGAGATTATGAGGGATTAGCTAATTTATATATATATTTCTTTAAAGGAAATATTACGAGCGAATAATATCCAACTGAGCTGGAAGGTTCGCTCCGTAAATTAAAAACTCTGCGATAAAAGCTTTATTTTTGTCCTTTTCGCAGGGAAAAAAAATATCTTGGAATGCAGCAGAGTGATATCTGAAATAATGATTGTGTGCGTGTGCGTGCGTGTTTTAACTTGGTTTTAATTAAACCTCAGTCAGGGCTGAGAAATGTGGTGCGAGGAGATAATTGCCATATTCCCAATGCAGTTTTTAAACTCTGGCTTTTGTAGGGATCTCCTGACAGGCTTGAACCTTTTTCCTGCAATGGCTCTGGCGAGAACTTGTGCCGTGTTTCTTCCTGCGTCCTTTGAGAGAGAAGGCCAAGGGAAGGATGGGAGAATGGGGCAGAGAGGGTCTGGGCAGGCGCAGTCGAGTGCGGAGGGCTGTGAAGCTTCATCGTTCCAAGGGTTTCATTCAGACATTTTCAACTGTGAAGACCTTGCCATATATACTCGTGTGTGACTTCACTACATGTATAAGTCAACACGATTTGAGGTCAAAATTAGGATTTTGCTTTGACCTGTGGATAGGCTGAGGGTGAGACTATAAAACAGTATGGAGATGGTATCTAACTCACATTAGATTAAATCAGATTGATAAAAAAATACTCAAATCAGTGTTGGAGAGGAAACAGGAACGTACCTTCATATGTGGTAGTCATGTAAAATTATGCAAAAAAAAAATTGGGAAAGTGTATCCAAAGAAATAAGAGCAATAATAAAAATAGAGATTGAGATTACACCAAAATTAGCATTATTACTTATACATGGCAATACAATACAAGCCATACCTAAGAAACTAGAGCTGATGGGATCTTGTCAATGCAATTTTCTGAATCAGTGCCCCAAATAATATCCAAGAACAGGCCTAAAAACCAAGACTCCAAGAAATGTTATTGTTATTGCCTCCTGAACTCCTTGCTTTATATCACATAAACCCTGAATTTTGACCTTAATGTTTTCCAGATCAGTTCTCCCATGGTGAAGAGTGACTCGAACTCTAATCCTGTCCACCACGTTGTTTCCAGTCCACATCGAGCCATCCAATTTTTCGGACTTGACAAGCTGCACATCAGCTTTGCATCCTATCCACTGGGCTACACCTGGGCCACCACTGAGTTCAAGGGATTGCCATTACTACCTCTTACCAGCTGAAGAACAATCCGTTTAAAAGTACGCTTCAGGTAAGAATCTTCGGCTGAATCGTTGTTAATGTGCACAAGAGTGAAAAGTAATAGTACCATCAACCAATTTTATAGAACTAATAATTTAGAAAGATCCTGCTCCTCCTATTTGCACCTGAGCTAGCAACTTAACCATTTTATGACCCCAATTAATAATACTCCCAATTAAGCATCAGGAGATCCATACATAAAAAGACTGATGTGAATCCCGCTTTCCTTTTTTCAGACTGGGTTAATGCCTGTTCAGTTTTATGGCTATGCAGCCTCGGTTTAAGTGTGGGTCTGTGCTTGTTGTTTGCTCTTATATGAGCTTTTCTGTAGGCAAAAACCTGTTAATAAACCATACATGGATTATAGCATAGGTATTACATTATTTTTTCCACATAATCACCATTCAGTCCAATACATTTTGTCATCCGTGTGATGTGTTTTTTGATGCCTGTGTCATAGAAGTCTCCCGCCACCTTTTTCAGCCAGTTCGTCACTTTTATTTTCACCTTGTCATCGTCAAAAAAGTGTTTTCCACCCAGGTGTTTTTTCAATTTAGTGAACAGATTATAGTCACTGGGTGCGAGATCGTGGCTGTGAGAAGGGTGACTTAAAACATCCCAAACACATGAAGTCAACAACTCTAGTGTTGCATGAACGGACGCGCATTGTCATGAAGGAGACAAACTCCTGCTGCCAGCATCCCAGAACGTTTGTTTTGGATGGCTCTGAAGTTTCCTCGTGGTCTCATGATATCTTGCTGTGCCGTCACACCCAAATGCCTTATAATGTGCTACTCTCTTTGCCTGGGCGGACCACTGGGGTCTTTCTTTTGAGGCTCAAACCTTCTGAGTAACTGAGTCCACTTCAGGTTTAAAACAGCAAACAGGGTATTTATTAACAAAGTCCTTGTAGACCTGGCTCAGCTTATTAATGTTACAGTCTTATATACAGATATTGAGGCAGCTTTCCTCCAAAAGGTATAATGAATTGTGGAATTCTTCTACCCTAATCTTGAGCCCCTATGGTAAGAAAAAGCAGGTTTTTCTCCTATCTATGACTCAAAATCAGGAGCGGAGCGCAGGGAGCATACAACCCCCCTGTTGCGCCAACTCCACTGGCTACCGATCTGCTACCGGGCTGAATTCAAAGTGCTGGCGTTGACCTTTAAAGCCCTAAACGGTTCGGGCCCAAGCTACCTATCTGACCGCATCTCTGCCTATGAACCCACCAGGACTTTGAGATCTTCCGGGGAGACCCTGCTCTCGATCCCGCCTGCTTCTCAAGCTCGGCTGGCGGGGACGAGAGATAGGGCCTTCTCGGTGGTGGCTCCTCGGCTGTGGAACGCCCTTCCTACAGACATTAGACTAGCACCATCTCTAATGGTATTCCGCAAAAAGGTGAAGACCTGGCTGTTTGAGCAGGCGTTCGAATAATTAGTGCAATGATTGGTTAATGAACACTGGAATGGAACAATGGATGACGAATCTGGAACATGTTTTTGATGACGAGACGACAGTGAATGGGTATTGTAGTAACTGTTTATTAATTGTGTAATGTGTTAGGTTGTTAACTGTTTCTATACTGTAGCACTGAATTTTTGCTGTTCGTATTTGTTGTGAACCGCTGTGAGTCGCCTTCGGGCTGAGAACAGCAGTATATAAGTAAGGTAAATAAATAAATAAATAAATAAATTTGGAGGCAAATGCCCAATACTATCTATATCTAAATACTCAATAGTTCTTCTATTAATCTATCTATAATTTCTCTATAGCATAATAAACTCTATCTGTATTCAATTGTTCCCTATAGCTCAATAACTCAATGAATCTATCTATCTATCCATCCATCCATCCATCTATCTATCTATCTGTCTATCTATCTATCGGTCTCAATTACTCAATATATTTGTTTTATTTTAATTTATTTTAGTACTTGCAATGATTTCTCGGAGCTTCCTAAACAGGCCTCTAGCACATCCAATTGCTTCTTTAGAACAGAATGGGGCAGGGAAGGCTCCAAAATGGAAGTCTGACCTGGTAAAAGGGGCGGCCTCAAAACTTACTCTCTGGGCCAATCATTGCAGAGAGCCTGCAAACTGGCCTTCCTGCCTCTGGCTGCTAACCTTTTAGGCCTTGCAAAGGCTGCAGCAGCCTGGGAGAAACACAAGGAGAGACTGTTTCCAGCAACTAAAAGGTAATGCAAAACCCATACTCCTGGGAGACGGAACACTTGCAAAATAATAATAATAATAATAATAATAATAATAATAATAATAATAATAATAATAATAATAATTCAGACAGACAGAGTTTTGGAGCACACAACTCCCGACCTCATGATCGTGCTAAAAAGCAAAGGGATGTCAATGTTGCAATCCCGGGTGAAAGCAGGATTGAAGAGAAACAACTGGAAAAGCTGACACAATGTGAGGATTTAAAGATCGAACTGCAAAGACTCTGGCACAAGCCAGTCAAGGTGGTCCCAGTGGTGATCGGCACACTGGGTGCAGTGCCTAAAAACCTTGGCCTGCACTTAAACACAATCGGCGCTGACAAGATTACCATCTGCCAGCTGCAGAAGGCCACCTTATTGGGATCTGCACACATTATTCACCGATACATCACACAGTCCTAGACACTTGAACATTAGGAAGAACTTCCTGACTGTGAGAGCCGTTCAGCAGTGGAACTCTCTGCCCCGGAGTGTGGTGGAGGCTCCTTCTTTGGAAGCTTTTAAGCAGAGGCTGGATGGCCATCTGTCAGGGGTGATTTGAATGCAATATTCCTGCTTCTTGGCAGAATGGGGTTGGACTGGATGGCCCATGAGGTCTCTTCCAACTCTTTGATTCTATGATTATACTTAGAAGTGTCCGACGTGTGATCCAATACAACTGCCAGCAGTGTCTGCTGTGGACTCATCTTGTTGTGTATCTAATAATAATAATAAACAACAACAATAATAATAAACAACTTTATTTATATACTGCCCTATCTCCCCTAGGGGACTCCGAGCGGTTTCCACATATGCAAAATAATACAAAAACATACAATATAAAACAAAAACATAGGCATAAACTGTTAACACAACATATACATTAAAATCAATTTAAAACCAGTTCCGCTCTCTTTTTCATGCAAGGTAAGCTGCCAGGGGCAAAAATTTCAATAAGGGGCCTGGACTATTTGGAATGGGCTGGACCAAGGCTAGTGCAAGGAGAAGGGAAATGGGGCTGGCTGAATGCTACAATAATAATAATAATAATAATACTTTATTTATACCCCGCTACCATCTCCCAAGGGACTCGGTGCGGCTTACATGAGGCCTAGCCCACAACACATCAATCCCAAAGCTAAAACAACAAATAATACAAAGCAATAAAATAAAACTCATAAACAAAAAAAGGCAATAAACATCAACAATAACACAATAACATTTAAAAACCTATGGCTGGGCCAAATGTAATAATTAAAATTTAAAAAATAATGCTGGGCATGAACAGGTATAACTGGGGGACAATTAAAGGACTATAAAAAAAGGTCTGGAACAGAAGAAAAGGTGCCCTCAGATGATAGGGAACTGGGGAATGGTTGTGAAACATTGATTGTGTCACCACTTTCCAAAAAATCCTCTTTTCTGTCCTAAACAATGACCGCCACGATTTTTCTCGCAATAGATCACAGCAGTGTTCATGCCCTTAGCATTTAGGTAGTGTATTACAGCAGGAAATGGAATGAGGACGCTCATCTCTAATCTTCACCACAATGTCAGTCAATGAGCTACTGACGACTGGCACTGCTCGTTTGCTTCCGCTGGCCTCCCGCTACATAGCAATGATACCAACTTCCCTTTCAAAAATTCCCTGCAAGAGCTACATGCCTTGCAACCTTCCTTTCTGGATAATCCTCATATATAGATGCATTCCTTTTCTTTGTAACATTGCTAATTGCTCTAAACAACTTGTGACCCTCCAAATATTTGTTGGACTTCAACTACACCATCTCTGTGCATTAACTTTACTTGTTGGCAGAGAATTGATGGGAGTAGTGGTCCAAGAAAACTGTAGAATTCAACAGTTGTAAGTTGTGTTCACTCATGTTGGGATCTGCAAAACACGCATAATGATGGGACAGTCGTAAGGCCGAACAGGGCATAGGGTTACAGCCTGTGTTGGACGGGGTTACACTCCCCCTGAAGATGCAGGTTCGCAGCTTGGGAGTGATCCTGGAATCCTGGAATCCCAGGTCTCGGCGGTGGCCGGGAGAGCTTTTGCACAATTAAAACTTGTGCGCCATCTGCACCCGTACCTTGGGAAGTCGGATCTGGCCATGGTGGTCCACGCTCTTGTTACATCCCGATTGGATTACTGCAACGCACTCTACGTGGGGTTGCCTTTGAAGACTGTTTGGAAACTCCAACTACTCACCGGAGCATCATACAGGGAGCATACCACCCCCTGCTATGTCAGCTCCACTGGCTGCCGATCCAGTTCCGAGCACAATTCAAAGTGCTGGTTTTGCCCTACAAAACCCTATACGGTTCCGGCCCAGTGTATCTGTCCGAACGGATCTCCCTCTACGTCCCACCTCGGAGTTTAAGATCTTCTGGGGAGGCCCTGCTCTCGACCCCGCCTCTATCACAAGTGAGATTGGCGGGGACGAGGAGCAGGGCCTTCTCGGTGGTGGCCCCTCACCTGTGGAATTCACTCCCCGGGGAAATTAGATCAGCGACATCCCTCCTTTCCTTTAGGAAAAAATTGAAAACATGGATTTGGGACCAGGCATTCGGACAATCTGGCATATAAAGAAAGGACTTTGACGATGGACAGGAATTGACTAAGTGGAATGGAATTATGGAACTCTGAAAGACGAATGCTGAGCATGAGAATAGTTTTATATGATGTGTTATATACTGATTGTTTTGATTGTTTTAACTGTGATAATTGTTTTAACTATGTTTTGTACATTATGTGTAATTTGTATAGGCATCGAATTGTGCCTTTTTGTAAGCCG